TTTTTCAGTGAAAAATGGTGAAAAAAGTAATGGAAATGGCTAGGTTGAACTGAGGGAATTGGGGAAAAAACGATAACGTGGTCGGTACTTAGAAAAAAAAAAAAAAAAAAAAAAAAAAACCGATGTGCCTATACGGAAAGACTAACGGCACTGAAAACTTAAACCTAAATTTAGGCGCTAATATTTAGATTTCGATTAAATAATGTGATATTCAGAAACGTGACATTATTAACAGTGAACTTGCATTTGGTATACAGTAGCGTTGAGGTTTCTCCATAGTTAATCGCACATCATTATGACAGATTTTAAAACTTATTTACCTGTAATGAAATACATTTTGATATTACTTGCAAGGTAATACAACCATCTATGAAATACAGAGAATTTCTATGTAGTCATTAGGAAATTTCATTGTTCGTTATGAAATGCACGCTTGGAGTTGTAGCACACTGCTAATTGGAGAAATAATTGAAATTGCCATAAAATGACCACAATTCCCTTATAACCAGTGAGAGATGTTTGCATATATCCAGTGACTACATATATTTAGATTGATATTTCGAGGGTGTTTGAGGATGGTGGGAAAAAGGAACGTGCATCTGGCGACCAAATTCCTTACGGTTCTCAAATTATTTCAAGGCATATCACCATCGTGAACTTGACAAAAATTATATTAATTGACTGTAGTAAAATGTTTTTCTGATTACTGTTAGGCATTTTATAAACTGTAATACATTTTATTAAACCAACCACACACGTATTTTGTCTTTTCTGAACTCTTTATCCATGTAATACACAAACGTCGTGACCTTTCCAAGTCGGGGACAAACTAGGTGATGAGAAGGAAGTGAAAAGAGATGGTTCGAGAAACAAGGAAAACCAACGTCTATGATTTGTAAATAGCTCGTTCCATTATCGGCCACTACTATAACTTAATGTATGCGTGGTTACAGCTGCTAATAAAGATATACTCTAATTATAGTGATAATAAGTATGTCTTCACAAGAAAGTCGGCACAATTCAAAAATATAAAAGGATACTTTTGACCCAACAGCCGAATATTATCACTGCTAATGACAGAGTTTCAAAAAATAAGTTCGTCTTTATAAGACAAAGCAAACGACACAAACAGACAAAAGGATGCTAAGGACCCAATTAGTTAACAGCACATAGCATGCAGCCTAAGTGGGAAAGTTGGCCCTATTTGTGGCTGAACTCATCTCAAAATGATGGAATTAATTTTTCGCTTGTTAAACGCCATAATGATAGTGGTTTTGACTTGCAAACTAAGAGGTGGATTTAAATAATTCGTTTTGATATGTACTGAGATAGGATGCAGTAGATAACCACGCAAAGCTGTATGACTCTGCAAGCGTTGATGTAACGTGGTGGATGCACGTATGGTAATCACCAAGACGTAGCACGCAGTGACGGTGTAATTAACAAATAGTTCGTAATGCAATAATGCGCCTGTGTTTCAGTCTTTACCGAATATCATCGATATTTTTCAAAAAAAAAAAAAAAAAAAAAAAAAAAACTTGTGAAAATGAGAGCTAAGTTTTTGTATCAATATGTAGCGATTTTTATAATTGATTAGCATTTTGCGAAATGCTTATTACATTTTGAATTAATTCATTACCTGTAAAAAATCCATTGAGATGGACACAAAAGATCGAAATGGAGAGCACACAAAAACTGCCAGTGGCGAAGATAATGCTTAAATTTACCTTAAAAGAAACATTTTTGAATAAATAGAAGAGGTGTTTCAACGAAGAAATCTGACCTGACAAATGCGTTAGCTGCCATCTCAAAGTTAGGTAAAAGAAGGGACAGGACAGAGAGACAGTCAACAGCTGAGGTTAAGTCCCAAAAAAACGCTTTCTTTCTTGGCCCCTATCACAGGGGCAGCGTAACGATAGCTCATTATTTTTTCACGCGTTTCGTTAAACTTTATCTAAAACTGCGCGATATTATCCGTTCCATTTCATTTAGTGTCAGTATTATCCGTGACATAGCTTTCATACTTTTTATGGAAGTTATTGTCATTTTGCTGCAGGACAGTTCCAGATATTTTTTTAAAAGATTCACCTCGCATTACTATTCAGACACTGTATATGTATTGTTTGTACATATTCTGATCCCTACGTCTGTCCGGGTCATCAACGTTTATTTGTAAGCTTTGCTGCCTAGTTTTAATGTCAACTAATTCAGGACGCATACATCACTTGCTTGAGGAATAAAAGTATCATTTCATTATTTGTTTCGTTATTAACGGTACACAGTCCCAAACCAGCCCTGTCTGCATGAATACGGAAGAAATAAAATTATCCGACACCAATGAATAGTTTCCCATTTAGCTCAGTGTATGATAATAATGACAGTGATTACGGCGTCCCCAAACCAGCAGACTGAATCATTAAGGTAGATATGCACGTGCACGCATGAAAGCACGCGATGCCTCCATACAGTCGGCCTCCCTGCAGTCACTATGGCACATTATGGTTTATCAGAATTGGGGAACTTATACTGCTTTTTGTCACGTGAATATGCCCTATATATTTTGCGCAACCCTAGCCCCAGTAAAATAATTTGATGCATTATGACCACAGCACAGTTTTCTACTTCCAGTTCGATTTATTTCAAGTGCTCAGTGATTTAAAGGTAGATTGTAAAAGACCATTTTCAAGCCAGGATCTTTGTGTCATGTAACACGACACAAGAAGTGACCCCAACTTATAGCGTGACATAAGGTGACCGGGAGCTTATCTTGGCTGCCCGGTTTTAGGATCTTATTATGAAAATGACGTGGTTCAGAAGTTATCTGTAGTCCCAAAAGCTCATTTTCAATTGCTAGCGTGACTTCGTGCATGAAGAATAGCGGTTTTAATTTTAATTGAGAAAATATAGAGCAAATATGTGCCTGCTTAATCATGTGCAAATTACCATAACCCTGGCCCAATGTTATCTCTGTGACACCTAATTACTTCTGAAACCATCTTCATGTTTACAGGGAAAACGTGAATGTCAATAGTTCAGACACAATGAATACATGAATATGCATATGTTAGTTATGTATGTTACAACATGCATGTTTTTTACACAGGTATGTTATAACTAAATACGTATTGATTATAACATGCATGTTTTTTACACAGGTATGTTATAACTAAATACGTATTGATTATATGAGCCACTGTTGACATCTAAAAAATTCATGTATGTTTAATACGTCCCTGTAAAATGTAAAACAAGGTTATAAAAATAAGTGTGACTAAAATCTGTTAGCTTTTAACATTTTACGCTTTCTTATCACTCATAAAAATACAAGCATAACTTTATGAGCATACGATATTATAATGGAATGTGATTGCTGACAGCTAAAATAATACGCAATTAGTTGCGCTCTTTTGTCTATAGAAGGCACAGCAAAGATTGACACAAGACAGTACGAAGTAGAACAACTCCTTCGCTGTGGAAATGAACGTGCTGGATGTTTGTCATATGCAGCACTTGTCATACATATACTAGAAGTTACTGGTCTTCGTGGATTTGGCTACATGTACGTGCATCAAATTACTAGTATTATGCTACTAACATCCCCAGGTAATTTCCCCAGGCAGAGGTTAACTTGTAGACATTAAACGTTTGACCTAAGCGTGCGTTTTGGTAACTCTCTGACCGCAGGGTCTGTTAGAATACTGTTATAAAATTATTTTTCTTCATTTTTTTGTAAAAAATTCAAGAGGCCCCTGTGATATCAGAGGGTAGCTTTTGATAGATGCTGAAAATTGAAGACGTGGGTTCTTCCGAGCAAGTTATCCCGAGGACCACTGCCGTGAGCCAGTGGAATCAGTCAGCCCTGGGGTAATGACAGGCACTGCAGCTTGTTGCCTAGCCTGCCACGCCTGCCTCGACCGAATCTATGGTGACAGGCATCTGTGCACATATAATTGGGTCTAAGAAGTACTTGGTGAGGTCAGTGGTATATACATACATGTATGTATGTATGTATGTATATGTACTGTATATAGCTCATTTGCTGCGGTTGATGATAAAAGCATCGCGAGTCTCAACCGTGCACAGCTACCACATTCTTAATCCTGTACAGCACTACCGCAATTTTGATAGCGATTGCATTACAGAGGTAGGAGCAGCAAAAGATAGAAAACTTCAGTTTGCCTGGCGGTTTCATATTTGCAATGTAGTTATGTCAATTGGTACATAAAAGACTTTAATTTTCAATATAAGATACTGTAGGATTCGAAGGAATCGGGTGAATTTGTTCCGTACGTCCTACCTAAAAAGTCGCAGTGTTTTTAAGATTTGAAACGTGTGTGTATTTGTGTATGTATATGTGTGTTATGAGAGAGAGAGAGAGAGAGAGAGAAGAGAGAGAGGGGAGAGGGAGAGAGAGAGAGAGAGAGAACGAGGTGTGTGTGTGTGTGTGTGTGTGCGTGTGTCTTGGACAACCTCATAAACACAACATATGAAAAACGTGAGTAGTCTTACAGACCAGGATTGATATTTATTGTACTTTCTATACAACTTGTCGTGCTGCGAGTAAAATATGAACCAGGTTAGTATCCGAATGGCTGACCATGATGACCATGGGGACCAAAGGGACCATCGGGTCCTCTGGTTGGCATTCCACCCTCGCAGGAAGCGAACCACTGCACGGTCAGATCCTCATTCTTGCACTTTGCTTGTCCGAAAGAGCACCTGTAACAATACAGCCATTTTGAATACCACAGGCACAATCAGAAATGACTGGGTGATGGTTGAGTGGTCCGGGTCCGGAGATGGGAGTTTAGTGTGGGGATGGGGTTTGGGGTGAGGGGGTTACAAGTTACGAAGCAGGCGTATTTTACCAATTTTACAGTTAAAAAACTTCCCATTGATAAGGAGTTCTTTTAATATTTAGCATATTTTACGAATTTTGAAATCACTTTCTCTATTGGCTTAAATCGAGTCTCGTAAGTATTGGGCGTTAAGTATAATCTCAATACACCTATATTATATAAATTGCGACTCCTTTCTTTTTATTTTTCTATCAATTTATCTCTCACCCCTTGATTTTTTTACCGCTGGACATAAAGTTCTACGGTCATTTTATAAATATAACTAGCATGTATCTAGCGGCCATACATGTATATGAATGGATTGTCTGTAAAAGTCCGCTGACTTACATGCCGTCGTAAGTGACGTCGTCAGACCCGCACACTGGTCTGTTGTGTTGCATTTTGCTGCAGTCCTCGGCGAGGATCCTCTCGCAGTCCAGTGGGGGGTGGGTGTGTCCCTCGTGTCCATGAGGCATGACAGAGGGGTCTGGCCCGTCTCCAGTGGGATGTGGGTGTGGTGGGTGGGGTGGGTGTGGCCCGTCACCAGTTGGACGAGGTCCAAAAGGACGTGGGTGGAACTGGGCCAATGCCACTATCGACACGAGTAAAGATACGCTATATTATTGGTTGAAATAGGTATTAAAATACCAAGCAATAGGACCTTTAAGCCTCATGTCATTCGATGACTGATGTAAAAAATTAAAGAAAATTCATCTCTGTGCACTTATTATTGTTTTGAAATAACGCCAAAAGATGATCGATCATACTTTAATCAGGTACCGTACAATTATTACTTATTCGAAAAAAAACGCTTTATGTCTTCACACAAAAAATTACACACACACACACACACACACACACACTCTCTCTCTCTCTCTCTCTCTCTCTCTCTCTCTCTCTTCTCTAGGCATACTAACAGTCATGGAAATGTTTTCAAATAATATTCAATAATATGTCTATGGGATAATTTTCAATAATATTACCAATCATATCTAGGTTCCTTATCCATATTAACTACGCTTATTTAATTTACTATTTTTTACCGACACATACACGTTAGGCATTCTTCTATCTCGTCGCTTTAATACTACTACGTCAGAACATTTATCAATGATAATAACACTGATATATTAACACGTATTAATATGGAAGTCTTACCAGCCAAAAGAGCGCAAGCCACAACAAGTTTGAACATTGTCACAGTGATGTTTGTGAGCAGTGCCGACAGCAAGGCCGCCGCTGCTTTTAAATATTATTGGAGAAGAGGGTGGGCGCTAATCCAGTGAAGATTTTTGGTCTGCACATCTGTGGTATTTCCGCAGAGATAGTAACTTACACAATGTCATGCTCCTGATACATGTACCCGCGTGGGTTTGATGACAGTTGCCTTCTTTGGCGTATACAGCTGTTTTCAAAATGAAAATGTCAAGGAATGATAAAAAATAAGAATTTTTATCTTTTTCTAGTCCTCTTCATGGTGCCGTTGAGCATATCGTAACACACACTGTGAGGTGTGGAGAATGGAGCTGCAGATCAGAAGTTGGCCACGAAGAAGACTGTTTACAAGGTTATGTTCGAATGAAAGCAAATGATAAACAATCTACTTTATCAAACATGAAAATTCTCAGACACTTAAATTTTCCGTACCGTTAGCTTACGGCCAACCTGGTCGAAGGCCTTCATCAGACTGACGTGAGTAGTTGTTCACACTCACTGACCGCTACTTTATCATTTTAAACATGCTTCGACATGTACCTAACTGCCATTAATAAATCGTATTATAAACCAAAGAATGACCTGTTAATACATTGGTAAAATCACTTTCACCATGCAAGAAGTTGTAAAACTTCTTTCACCAAGCTATGACCCACAAAACCTAGAAGGCCCTAGTGTCACGGTAGTAGATACCTCCTTACTGTCAGTAAGTAAGGGGAACTTTCTCCAAGTAAAAAAGAACAGGATTTCTCTGCTTAAAATACTATTTTGAATATTGGTACCAATCTCGTTCACCGGAATGGATAAGAATGATAATATCTCAAGAGATTTTCAAAGGAATAAATACCTCTAATTGAGTGCCTGTTGATATTACGTATGATAGAAATCCGTAATCATGAACCTGGTAGAAGTCGGCCTGCGTAGGCGCATTTCGAATTTTCACCATATGGCCACGCCCACCAGTTCAAAAACTGTAACTAGACTAATCTTGACTCTAATCCTTGGTCTAGTTTGTCACCGCGGAGGTGAAGAATTAGAGGGGCCATTATATAGACCCATCGTAGGGGCGGATCCAGGATTATTTGATGGGGGATCCGCGGATGCGAAGCCGACTCCCCCCTCCCCCCCCCCCCCCCTTGGCTGTAGGGCCCCACGGGGTTTCTCGCTAAATTGCTTTCAGCTAAAGTGGTTTAGATAGTGGCTGAGGACGTGTGATTTGACAGCGACCATTTGCAAAGCTAGGACGAGTTGAAATGGGATTTGTCAAAAACAACTTAAAGAAACTAAAAAAAGAAATATGATTTATGCTGATTCCATTTTCCTGAAAATCTGAGAGTCCCAATTTTTTAACCAATGAAGTCGCCTTCTATCATGAAGTAGTAATGGTTATCCCATGAAGTGGGAATATACTATGAAGTATCTCAACACACGTTGGAAATTTTTCAGATAATTCTCTTTCTCTATCCAAGACGTTGACAAACAAAGGGAAACAGTCTGTGTACGATAAGCCGCCGTTAATTCCACAAGTAATAAAACATTTGATATTAAATCAAACAAATGGATGAACGGACTACCCAACCAACTGCAATAAATAGACCAATTATGATAACGGACCTATGTTTATTACTGTTGTTACTATATATGCCAAGCCAATGGCAGATTTAGAGGGGGGATAAGGGGGGTCCTGAACCCCCCTTCGGTTTCTGAAAAATATATCACACCAATATTCCACTCGTGTAATTAGAATTTTTTAAAACTAGCTAAATCATAGTTCTAAACCGTACCAAAGGGCACTGTTTGCTCTCCGAAACACCGAACCCCACACCGTGTGGGCGATGAATCTGACAGGGACGGATATAGAGATATTTTCTGACAGTCTTCCAAATTATCTTTGTTGATCCATCTTCAATTTTTGACTGTCTTCCGACAAAAAAAGTAAATACCCGTCAATGTAAACTTGAAAAACTGACCGTCTTCCGGAAGACCCAGAAGACGGCCTCAATCCGCCCCTCATCGGATGGTCGGCTTCGCATCCGAGGCCTGTCGCCCCCCCCCCTTCAAATAATCCTGGATCCGCCCCTTCAAGCAGCCTGTGCAGCCCATTGTATGCAACCATGCAGATAAACGGGGAGAAATGCACAGCTCAGTGTGACAGATGAGCCAAGAACATTATGCTCCGCTGTAGAAATAACTCATAATAGGGCACATCGAGGGGAATTTTCTTTCTAACATTTTTTTCAACAAATTGTTTCATAATTTTGTTAAAATAATATACAGTAAATTTATCTTCGATTTAAGCCTTCATACTGGGACTGAAAAAGATGTCCGAGTTTCAGGTATTTGTATGTCATCTTACAAATTTGAGAAAAATAATAAATATTCATGCAGAGCATTTTCTGTAGGACCAGAGAGAAAAAAAGTGAAAAAAAGTGAAGGGATATATTGAAGATCGATATGAAAACGCGTTTCTTCTAAGCTTACACATTTAATTAATTGGAAAATGAGGCGCAGCACCTGGGTTTCAGGTTGAGGGAGTGAGCTGCTCGAGCTTTAACACGCACCTAGGTACTATGAATACAACAATAGCTGGAATAGTTAACCTAATGTCTACAACAGTAACAACGCTAAATTATACAACATACTAACATGTGCATGACTATTCTGGAATTTAAAAAAACTCAACTCCTTAAACGTGTCGCTTTATATTTCTGTCTTATATTTCAGTTTAAATCGGTCTGTTTTTTTTTTAACAGATTTGGTAAGTGTACATTTACAGACTATTTCCTCGCCATCAGATGTGATATTTTCAGTGCATTGTACGGTGTCAGCCTCTGTTGCTCTAGACAGGAGCATGGTGCATCCAGGGCACTATAAAACCTTCTGTAATTAAAAAAAATTATTCAATTACCACGGAAGTGTGTTATTTACAAAACTAGTTTTCATATTCTACGTATGGACGGCGACATGAACGATAAAAGTGCCAGTGCCAATACAAACGCCAATCCAATCGGTTAAAGATCTCATCAGTCTCGTTCGATATTCGACATTTTACCTGTGGAAGTTAATCTTGTTAGGGCAAAAGTGTAAGCGTGTCGGCTTTCCGATGAAATTACTTTGGATTACCTTATGACATTTTAACGCGGCAACTTGTTTTGTATGTGGTGCACGTTAATATGCGCAAGTCTGCCAAGTGCAGGAGGGTTTTATTGATTGCGGGGTGAGGTTGAGACAGGTTCAACTGCCAGGAAAAAATGGGCCTGATTTTGGTGTAATGTAATTGCAGACAGACTTTAAGACGTGCTGCATTCCTATAGAGGATTTATGCAGGTGCAACATGATCGCGTTCATTTGAAGAATAATGTTGTTTTCAATTATTACTACATGTACCGTTCAATATATCAAATTTGGAAATTTCATGGGAAAACTTATAAATGGCTTTCCACTCCTTTCCTGAGTCCTTTTGAAAAAATTAACTTCCAATAAACCATTGCATTGTCCCTGTATTTACGAACAATTGACAGTTGGAAAATAAAGTATTATACCCAGTTTAGTTATTTCAGTTATTCAGTATAGTTATTTCACCCCCATATTGTCACGTGACTGAGAAGCTCCGGCAGACCGGGAATGACGTTGCTTTTATTTCGCATTTATTTCTATTTGCACTGCAACGTGGAATTTAGATGCCTCGGGGAATATGAAGTCTTGGTGCGGCCAGAGCACATTGGTGCAGATAAATATGCGCTATCAAGTAACCATTCCAGTTAGGCCAGACATTATGGCAAAGTGGGTTAACAAGCGCGACCGATCCCAGTTTTTTCGCAACATTTTTCCAAATAATAATAATAAAAAGACCGGTCCTATGATTAAACAACACAGTTTTGAAAACAAAACCAGAACAACAAAAAGAAACTAAGCCGGGCGACTAGTATACAGAGATTTTCCAACTTTTCATTTTTGTCTGGACTGACTGAGAAAATATCAAGTAGCCAAAACAGTACACACTAAAGAGGGGAGTCGTGGGGGTCATGGGGCCCACTGAGGGGTCCATACGCTCCTTGCCGGGGGCCTTTTTAGTCGGCGAGAGTTTATATGGGGTCCACGGGGTCCAACAGGTTCACCAGTTGGACATATTTGGAGCCTGTTAAATTGGATCATTTTCTTAAATGATACCGGTACACTCCGTCCCCTCAGAAATCAAATGAAAACAGTTTATATCTTTCAAGGTTAGATTTTCTCGTAACGAAAAATGAACTATTTAAAACGAAGCGTTCTTACAAATGTAAGCACTTTATTATCTAAACCCTCTTCAATAGTATTTGATATCGTATGCCGTCTTCTGCTTGAAAAAAAAAAAATACAGCCATGTGGTAAACAAATGAATTATTTAATACCCAAGCAGCTATGAAAACTAGGGTCAACAATCATACACCTGCTGAAAATTTGTAATCAAAACAAAGGTATTGGACTTCTTCGGAAAAGTGTGAGAATCCAATAATATCGTGTGTCGTTTTTATATTTGTTCTTTTCCGTATCGATTTTGTATTCCCGTTTATTGTTTTATCCTCAGTTATGAATTTTGTTGTTATTCCATTTCTCCCGTTGTGCCCAGTGTTATTGAATACAGTAACTTTGGCGGATTTAGATGGCGACAATGAAAGAAAAAGGACCGCAGGAGTAACTTAGCATAATCGTGTCCCGGATGAACGGAAGCGTAATGTTTCCTAACCTCTCACACGTGCTTAGCTGACTACTACAAAAGGCGCGTGTTGGAGTAAATGCATTATTTCTTAATATCAACTTTCAGATGGGAGAGTTTTCCTGTTTGCAACATTATGCTTTGATATTGAAGTAAAATATTTGTTTCTAGCACGAAATATTACACACGTATAAATTCCACTGCTTTAAGTGCTTATCAGGTGGGAAAATGCGATTAATTTATCACGATGATGATATATTAAAGATGACGTAAAGAGGCCGTTAATAACAATTACTATTGTAATGTGAAGTTGATCACTTAACACTCAGGTAGCGAGTGCTGAAGGACTATTTGGTGGTGCACGTGTAATTAGACCGTCCAGAGTTTCCTGCTTCATCTTTGATTACAGTGAAAATAGTAAACATAGTTTTCCAAACCAGTTCCCTGCCATATGGTCCCAAACCACGCTTAAATTAACCTGTCAAGAAGTTAATCATGTTTATATTAACTATCGCGAATGATGTATCTGATAGCAGTAATGGGGTATTTTACTGCGCCATTTTTTATCGTGCAGATGACATATATATCAGTTTTCACCTCGTGACCTTTGCATCCCGCGGCCCATAAGGGAGAGAAGACCTACACGGAAGAACCAGCTTACTGAAAGTT